TCTGGAGGCAATTTGAGAAGTTTTGCGGTGAACGCAAATATGTTTTTGATGGAAACACTTCCACGGAAAAACTAGCATTCATCCTCAAAGATTGGGGGTACAATATGAAAAAAGTCGATGGTAATGACTACAAAGAAGCAGTAATAAAAACGATGTGGAATGTAACGGCAAAGCAGTTGCAAGAACTGTATTTCAATAAATTTGGTATAAAGTTTGATCCTTTTGTTGACCTGGAATTCAAGGGTAGTAGAAATGCACGCGACGCAAAACGCCGGAACCTACAAATACAACCGGAAAAACGCAAAACTAGTTCCTCAATTTTGACTCTAGAAGAATACAACAAGATTCTAAAGATTTATAACGAAGACACGCCAGATGGTTTACAGAAAATGTTTTTTTATGTGGCTGGATTAGAATTAGCTTGGAGGGGATGTGAAGGTGTTAACGTTACTATCAAACATTTTAAGGAAGAAAGTGATAATTGTGGTTTGCCTACGGGGCGAATAGAATACAATTGTATTTTTTCCAAAACAGCTCAAGGAGGTAGCCATAAATTAACAGACAGCAAATGGCTTGCAACAAACACCACAGATCCTAGAATTTGCCCTGTTAGGTAATTAAATACTGTTTCAAATACAAAATAATAATTATTTTATTATTTAAGGCTCTACAAAAAAATGCTGAGCAAGAGAGGTAAACATATAACCACCGATCGTTTATTTTTAACGCCAAATCCTGCATGGAGAGAACCTAGTTCTGTAGGATGGTTCAAAAATTCACCCGTTGGAAGGAATGAAATGGGGAAATGGACAAGAACCGCCGCAGAAGAAATAGGCATCGACATAAAGAAAAAGAAGATTAGTAATCATTCATTACGGTCAACTGCAGTGTCGCAACTTGCAAAAGCGGGAGTCGGTGAAGAACAGCTTATAAAGATTACCGGTCATGCCAATACTTTCTCCATCAAACCATACCTTCAGCTCGATGGAGATCATCATTATCAAATGATTGACAAATTACGCGCCAACTCAACGGCTATGGAAGAGTCTAATAACAAATCCACAAATTGCGCACCGTCTGCTTTGGTACAAATGTCTAAAAATATAGTTACTACTTCACCAAGCACACAAACCCCTGTAAATTACTACAACTGTACCATAATTAATTACAATTCTTAGTTTCATAATTAAATATTTGGTTAGTAACCTCTTGTTTTTTTTTGCAATTAACTGGTACTTGCTTATCTTATAGTTGGCACATCTGGCTAGTGATAATTATCGGTAGTGGTAATTGCACAGTGTGCAATTATCACGTAATTGTATGCTGATTGGTTGAATTTACAAATATTGACGCGTTTGATTGGTCAGTTGACATCATGTGACATGTGAGTGCAATAATCAGTTATAATATATTAAGTGCATCGCAATGTTATCGATAATTTTGAGCAACAATAACTCGAATGCTTGTTGCATTGAAAACGCACGAGTGCTTTAGCACGAGTGCATTTTTCTTAGGCAACAAGCATGAGAGATTATTGTTGTTCAAAATTATCGATTTCATTGTGATGCACGCAATATATTCAACAGATTATTGCAAGAACAAACATTTTAAAAATAATTTTATAATGATTTACGAAGTAGTTTGGTGTGCGATACTATGGCGACGCAAGTAAATAAGAACAGCCATTTTGCAAAATTTGTGTGGGTTTAAAAAACCATGTCCAATTTTCGTTTTGGTCGTAACACGCCAAAAGAAATTGATGATTCTATTACAAACATTACGCCGCTAAATACGAAGAACTCACGAAATTCAATCTGGAGGCAATTTGAGAAGTTTTGCGGTGAACGCAAATATGTTTTTGATGGAAACACTTCCACGGAAAAACTAGCATTCATCCTCAAAGATTGGGGGTACAATATGAAAAAAGTCGATGGTAATGACTACAAAGAAGCAGTAATAAAAACGATGTGGAATGTAACGGCAAAGCAGTTGCAAGAACTGTATTTCAATAAATTTGGTATAAAGTTTGATCCTTTTGTTGACCTGGAATTCAAGGGTAGTAGAAATGCACGCGACGCAAAACGCCGGAACCTACAAATACAACCGGAAAAACGCAAAACTAGTTCCTCAATTTTGACTCTAGAAGAATACAACAAGATTCTAAAGATTTATAACGAAGACACGCCAGATGGTTTACAGAAAATGTTTTTTTATGTGGCTGGATTAGAATTAGCTTGGAGGGGATGTGAAGGTGTTAACGTTACTATCAAACATTTTAAGGAAGAAAGTGATAATTGTGGTTTGCCTACGGGGCGAATAGAATACAATTGTATTTTTTCCAAAACAGCTCAAGGAGGTAGCCATAAATTAACAGACAGCAAATGGCTTGCAACAAACACCACAGATCCTAGAATTTGCCCTGTTAGGTAATTAAATACTGTTTCAAATACAAAATAATAATTATTTTATTATTTAAGGCTCTACAAAAAAATGCTGAGCAAGAGAGGTAAACATATAACCACCGATCGTTTATTTTTAACGCCAAATCCTGCATGGAGAGAACCTAGTTCTGTAGGATGGTTCAAAAATTCACCCGTTGGAAGGAATGAAATGGGGAAATGGACAAGAACCGCCGCAGAAGAAATAGGCATCGACATAAAGAAAAAGAAGATTAGTAATCATTCATTACGGTCAACTGCAGTGTCGCAACTTGCAAAAGCGGGAGTCGGTGAAGAACAGCTTATAAAGATTACCGGTCATGCCAATACTTTCTCCATCAAACCATACCTTCAGCTCGATGGAGATCATCATTATCAAATGATTGACAAATTACGCGCCAACTCAACGGCTATGGAAGAGTCTAATAACAAATCCACAAATTGCGCACCGTCTGCTTTGGTACAAATGTCTAAAAATATAGTTACTACTTCACCAAGCACACAAACCCCTGTAAATTACTACAACTGTACCATAATTAATTACAATTCTTAGTTTCATAATTAAATATTTGGTTAGTAACCTCTTGTTTTTTTTTGCAATTAACTGGTACTTGCTTATCTTATAGTTGGCACATCTGGCTAGTAATAATTATCGGTAGTGGTAATTGCACAGTGTGCAATTATCACGTAATTGTATGCTGATTGGTTGAATTTACAAATATTGACGCGTTTGATTGGTCAGTTGACATCATGTGACATGTGAGTGCAATAATCAAGTATAAATTCTGTTTCTAACTTTGTGCATATGACTTTTTGGGAAAGAATTAAAAATAATGTAATAAATTGCCAAAGGACTACCTATGAAAACGGGTCCCTAAAAATAGCGAGTTGTCCCCACTGAATGATCTCTACACTGTGATTGACGTTTGAATTTTAACAAATTTATTTTCGGTTTTACCAAGTTGTTTACAAGTAAAACTAGGCAAGTCAAAACAATTATAAATGGTTACAATATCGCTCTGCAACTGGCATTAAAACGTAATGTAGAGCAGCTTTCAACACAAAAAGGTACAGGGGCGGGGCTTAAGATGCGCGACTTGTAGTCGGGCTAGCAGTGGCGTAACATCGATGTATTGAGAAGGGAGTTTCGGCTGAGTTACATTTCTTTCAAAAACAATTAAAAATAGAGCAATTTCCACAAAAGAATACAGACAACCATTTAATAAAAATAAATTTATTTGTTTGGTAAAAAAATAGACTTACGTAACAATAAATTATGATAATCTATCACACAAAATTTGGTATTTTTAATTATTAAACGAGTTTATAATGTGAGGGATTATAGCATGAGTAAAAAATTTCACGAATCCCTCATTATAAACCAGTATCATATACTATTTTATAGTCGACTAGTCTTAAAGCAACAGTTAAATCTTTAGATAAAAGCGGGCTTAAAACTCTGAGAATAAGCAACCTATGACTATAATTATATGGTTTTTAATTTTCTGGCACAATTTATCGATACCGTAAAGTCGGATTATAATAAGGCTTAACGTTTTCTGTCTTTAACATTGAAGTAATAATCGCAGTTCGTATTCTAGCATAATTGACCCTTTTCCTGTAAGCAAAGTGAGTAGACATTATATAAATTCCAATGACACAGAGTGAGACAACATCGCGCAAGCGAAGTCAGATTTTTGGAGCGCCAAGTTTAAATTAACCAATGAGCGACAGATTACGCATGTGTAGCCGGTTGCATTCTGTCAAAGCGGTTTGTTGTCACAGGCCTTTGCTCTGCTGCCGGAGTGCCGGATACAATTTCCAACGTGGTTTTGAAGATGCGTGCGCACGAAAAGTCACTATGGAAGTTTTACGATCTTACAGGAAAAGGGTCAATTGTCGTTTATAACTAGAGCTTCGACTGTACCGTAATTTAACAGTAATTATTGCTCACTAAAAATTACCTTTTTACTTCTTTTACTTACTTTTTTATTCAACTCATACATCAAATACAGCACTAATAATTGTTTAAATTCTTTTTCTATAATGTCAACGCTAATAAAATAGAAAAGTGATATTTTTATTAACCGCAATAATATTTTAATATTTCAAAATCGAAATATTCATCGCCGCTGCCACTGCTTGCACGATATTTGTGTACCCTTTTGTGTTGAAAGCTGCTCTAACTAGTTAAAAGCCTTACTGATACTTTCGCGCCACAATTCGGTGTAGTGTGGGTTGCCTAACCCCAAAAACAAGATATATTCATGAATACAAATCGTCTTTAAATTCTTTACCCTCCACAATTTACTGGAAATGGTATTGCATCATTTCATTACTCATGACTGAATATCACAAATGTAAAGGATGCAAGTCTTCGTCACAATAACAAATTATGACCCAGCTCTTATGAGTGAATGAAAATTATGAGAGTGAAACAAAAATTGTTTACTACAGGAAAAAATGACGTTCAAATCTGTTGGGTTTTCCGAGTGAACCCAATGAATGACAGCACAAAATAGCACCTACTGTACACTGTCTCAATCATTAATACCAACTTACCAGGTTGACTAGCTGAGTAAAGTTCTGTTTGCAGAAACGGATATGGACTAGAATATTCACTCCTATGTGGACACAAAACTTCCGTTGCTTGAAACGTTCTCGAAATACTACTGAGATGAAACAGTCTCATCGTACAATCATACTCTAAATCACTACTCAACAACGACAAATACTCATTACAATTTTTTCCAATAACATCTAAAAACATCTCGCTCTCTTCGCCTTCATCTACCTCAACAACATCAATATCGTCAGCATCACCCCAGTAAAACTCTGCGGCCTTCTTCTCCGCAATCCTATTCGCCGCCAATTTAGCTGCATCTCTAATCTGAACACTAGATTTTGCACCATGCCAAACTGTAATTTCCGCTGAGTCAGCTTCAACAAGCAAAAAGGAAGTCCTACTCCTCAGTTGTTTCACCTCACAGGGTACTTCAATCAGACAAATTTCATCTTCCTTTTCGCCTCTCATTATAAAAAGTCTTGCTTTACCCTGATTGTCCGAATCGTCTCTTTTACCATCGTGCACGACCATGCCACCACGAAACATTTTCAAGAATACTGCCGGTTCTAAACATTGAACTACGCGAACTTGAGGCGCCTTCTCGTGGTCTAATTCGACTGTTAAGAGTGCAGCGGAACCTTTTTCGTTGATGGATGCATTTGATCCTTGCCAGCAAAAGTAAATGCATCTGTCACGTCCCGCTTGTAGATGTTTCGAGGGTTTCCCGCTCAGTTCTCTACCTTTTACGGTCGTCCTGTAGTTCCATTTAATAATATAACTATCACTATTGTAGAAATGTCCAATGGAGTCATCGTCGAGTTGCTCTGGATGGTTCTCAAGGATTCTCCAAACGGATATTTTTAAAGTTTCAAATTCGTACAGTCTTTTCGTTTCTTCGTCGAAATACTCATCGCCTCTGCCTAAATGGAGATTCTCTACCACCAAATCTGGCTTGGTATTGCTCCGTTTAAGCATCTCGGCGACATCACAGGGTTTTATGTTATAGGAAGGATCGACGGTCTTTCCATTTTGATCACCTTTGACTTTGATTATTCGCGCAAAATCGGGCCAGTCTAAAAATTTCTCTTTAAATAAGATTGTTTCTCGATGTTGGGTTATCTTCGCGAAAAGGGCCCAGCTGGGCCGGCTGGACCCCTTCTTGGAAACGGTTTTGGAAGGGCGATTTCCGAGAATGGAAGCGATGTTTAACGGGCAAATGTTACAGTCGGAATAATCATATCCCAGCTCCCACATTTCCTTAGCTAATCTAAAAGCTAACTTTTTCTTCTCGATTGGGGCGTTTTTGCCACTCCAAACGTACATTTCCGAGCCGAAATCGAACACGATTACTTTAGTTTGTTCCAACATGTCGACTTTGGGTATCTTCCCCCAATACTCATCCATAGGGACCAATTCAGTCCCTTCCAGTTTGTAAATCATGTTCGTGGAAAGTACATTCGCTTCGTAAATTCCGTCTTCTTCGGGGTTTCCTCCACTCGTAAAAACTTGTTTTTCGTCGCATCCGATGGTCTTCCAGAACCTCCGGACTTGTCTGGTCATCACCGAACTGTTCTCCACATTCAATGTGACAAGTTCGACTTCTTTACACCCCAAATCGCCGGTCTGCTGGATATGATTAATGATGTCAGAAGCTCTCGATTGCTCGATAACGTTCGAGTATTTCCCTACATAATTATACAAAGTGGTGGGAGTGACCAGGATGTAATTATCCCCTTCATTGATGCTGCTCGCGACAGGTTCAACCAATCTTGTTTGCACATGTTGTCGACCTTTGACTTGCAACAGCATGACTTCTTTGTACGGATTGAGTGTGCCAGAATAAGTCGATTTTTTTAAAGCCACTGCCTTAAAGTCCTCGTTACTCACCAAGCCAGCCAGAGCCGCGTGGGCCATGGAGGAGCTCTTGGCAACTGCAAATCATCTAATATAACAACACAAACAAACAATTCATTCAAACATTACGTTTTTCTATGTTCAGTCTTTTCTTTTCTCTCTCGGCTACGCCTGTGATTACTTCGGTATATTCGTCCGAGATGTCGATCCTCGAAGCTAATGCTTTGATGGGATTTCTGGAAGCTCCTCGCCTTCTTTGTACTTGTACGTTTTTCTTTTGTACCAAGAGAGATTGTCGGGTGACAGAATCGAAGTCGTCGAGAGACACGTCGATTTGTTCTGTCGCTACTTTGCTCTCGACGCTTTTGTAGAAGCTCGTAAAGGTGTAATCATCTGGTCTAGAAACAGATACTTTTCTACCTGAGGCTCTCAAAGAAGTGTCCGAGCCTGGAAAATAGCAACTGTTAGGTCACGATGAGGAATGGAGAGGGAGAATGTACCAGATGAGTCGGGATCCGGATCTGGAACGGAGTAACTCCTTGTCAATTCTATGTGTCTGTTTTTATCCGGAGATACTGGAGTGGATGAACTGTCGCTTCCTACAAAAAAGAAAGTGTTGTTAAGTCTTCCACTTACTACTACTTACGTACTCATACAAAAAAAAAAAAAAAAAAAAATCAAGTAAAAAAGAAATCTACATCGGTTAAATAACTAGATATACACTCTTGGACAAAAATATGGAATATTTCTTGTAATCATAATTACTTGAGAAAGAGTCGAAATTTTAACTTATTAAATGGCAATTTGGAAATAATTGAATCCGAGATTCAGATTTTATCATCAATAAGTCAAATTATGAAATCAGTCGGTTAAATTTTTAATTAGCTTTAAACTTCAAAATCATAATTAAATAATTACGAAAAAACAAGTCAAAATTTCCGTCCAATTAAGTAGAAATTTCTAGTAAAAAAGCCTAAGTTGTCAACTATGCAATTAGATTTAATTTAAAGATAAGAAACCTAATTTATTAAACTAAAAATTCAGGGCGGCTACTTAATAATGCTACAATAAATCAAAATTTAGAAACAAACATCCAAATCTCGGATTACAAATTTTGACTTAATTAAACTTCAAATTTCTCGGTAACTAATTAGAATTTCATGTAAATACGATTAAATTTTAAGCCAGTATGGCCACATTTCGATATCAGCTGTTGAAATTTTGAGATCAAGACCAAAAATTTCAAGAAAATTAATTACAATTTTCTAAACATAAGTTAAATTTTCATATGTATTAAATTAAAATTTCGAGATAATGGGTCGAAATTTTAAGAGAAATCGTCGAAATTTTGGTCTATTAAATGAAAATTTGGAGATGATAATCGGGTCAAGATTTTGTCATCAATAAGTAAATTTCTGAATTCAGTCAATTAAAATTTTCTTCTAATTAGATAGCTATAAATTTCAAAATTATAAATAAATCGTTTCGAAAAACCAAGTTCAAATTTCTGTCAATTAACTAATTAGATATAATTTAGAGATATGAAATCTGATTTAATAAACCGAAAATTTATGGTACTTAATAATAATTTAGGATTGCCAATTTGGCGTAGTTAATTAACTTAAGTTTTATTGACAACTAATTATAATTTCAAGGGTAGAACTCAAAATAATTCCTTAAACATTTTCTAACGAAAAGTTAGTTATAAAGTTATTCTTTTATATGCATTCACGATAATGGATCGAAATTTTTAGACAGAGTCGAAATTTTTTAAACTATTAAATACAAATTTTGAAATATGTAACTTGAGTCCAGATTTCGTCATCAATAAGTGAAATTCTGAAATCAATCAATTTTTTTTAATTATCTGTAATTTCAAAAATATAATTAAAGTCCAAATATTGGGTCTAATTAAGTAAAAATTTCTATTCAGAGCCTAAATTGTCAACTAATTGGATCTAATTTAGACATAAGAAATCTAATTTAATAAAGTAAAATTATAGGGTATTTAATGATCTAAGTAAGTAAAATGTAATTTATTAAATTGAAATTTAGAGACAGATTGAATTATGATTTCGTCATAATTACTAAAATTCTGAAATCAGTACGTCAAAATTTTGTTTCAAATAACTCTAAATTTCGAAATATTATGACTTCCAAGTTAATTAGAAGTAATTAGATCTAATTTAGAAATAAGAAATTTGATGTAATAAACCGAAAATTTGGGGTGCTTAATAATGTTAGTACAAAAAAAAATAGAAGTTCACCAAAAATCCAAATTTAGGATTACTAATTTGCTTTAATTAACTTAAAATTTCTACACCAATAATCAGAATTTCAAGTTACTAGGGTGAAATTTTAAACCAGTGTGGCAAAATTTAGATATCAGCTGTTGAAATTTGAAGGTTAAAACTATAATTTCGAGATAATTAAGGCAAAATTTCCTAAAGATAAGTTAAATTTTCATTTGTAAATAAAGTTATTTAAAATTTTCTCATAATAGATTGTAATTTTAAGATAGCCGCGAAAATTTTAATTCTGAAACCAGTACGTTAAAATTTTGTTTCAATTAATTCTAAATTTCGAAATTACACGACATTTAAGTTAATTAGAAATAATTAGATATAATTTAGAGAAAAGAAATCTGACGTAAAAACCCGAAAGTTTGGGGTTATTAATAATGTTATACAAAATAAACCAAAATTTCAAACAAAAAATCGAAATTGAGGATTACTAATTTGACTTAATTAATTTACAATTTCTAAACAACTAATTAGAATTTCTCATACGATGAAATTTTAAATCAGTGTAGCGAAATTTCGATTTTACAACTATTGAAATTTGAAGATCGATAATTAAATTTCGAGATAATTAATGAAAAATTTTCTAAAAATAAATTAAACTTCCATATAAATTGAATTAAAATTTTAAGATGATAGGTCGAAATTTTATGACAGACTTGAAATTTTAATTTATTAAATGTAAATTTGAGGACAATTGAGTTGGTATTTTGTCTCAAGTAACTCTAAATTTCGTAATAATACGACGCCGAATTTAATTAGAAGTAATTAGATCTAATTTAGTGATAGAGATCTGATGCAATTAACCCAAAATTAGGGGTTATTAATAATGTTGCTACAACTAATCAAAATTTCAATTTAATACGATACAATTTTAAGCTATTATCGCCATCAACTTATGTAATTTCGAGGTCGAACATAAATTTTTATTTAAAAATTTTCGAAAGATAAGTTAATCTTTCATATGGTTAAATTAAATTCAAATTTGAAGACAACCGGTGGAAATTTTAAGATACATACTTGAAATTTTCATTTATTAAAGGGAAATTTGGAGACGATGGACTTGAGACTTTGTCATAATTAATTAACTTCTGAAATCAGTACGTTAAAATTTTCTTCAATTTAACTCTAAATTTCGAAATATTAATTGGTTGAAATTTCAAATAATTACTCAGGATGTTGAAAAAATTAAGTAGAAATTACTTGATAGCAGGTCGAACTTTTAAGGCAAAAGCTCTAAATTTTAATATATTGATGCAAATTAATAGAAAATTCTGTCGAAATTTCAGTATAATTAATTCAAGTAAAAAGTACTAAATAAATTAGTAAAATAATAAATTGTGTATTTTAGTGTGATCTTTGACTTTTTTGTCTCAAATAATCCGACAATTTTACTAAATAATAACAAATGACATTATATAAGTATTACAACACCAGAGTTACTAAAGTTAGTCTGTGGGGAATTGTCTACCGATAATTCCGTTTTACAAATTTAGATCTTACAAATGTGCATGTTAATTTCCAAAATTTTTGAAAATTTCAAAATAATCCATATTTTTGTTCATGAGTGTCTACATTGTTTTTAATTAAAGGTCCACCAAAACAACAAATTAACATCTAAAGTAATAAGCATTCACGTTCGGTAGAAGTAACTGACAGAAACTTTTCTGTGGTTAAGTTGCAATCTTAAGATCACTAGAAATTTAAGATTGGCATCAACTGTCTAATTTTCTAATTCAAATGTCAAATCTGAATTGTGTGGAAAAAAAACGAAGTTTTTCTAATTTCAACACGCTTTGTTTCAAGAAAATCCTTAAATACAGCATGGAAACAATTTCCATAAAAGTAATCACGAGAAAGCTCATTTTAAAGGAAAAGAAACAAGAAATATTTGGTGGTTTTCAAAAAATTGGGTAAAACGGAAACAGTTAAACTGGTGGCAGAAATATTCTCCGTAAAGTTCGCTAGTGTTGTCGAGTGTGTTTCGAATTTTAAAATAATACAGATACAGCGGCGCTTGTGCCGTTAATACAATAATCAGAATCAGAAAGACGACTGCGCAGATTTATATACCTACATGCTTTGTTGGTGCCGTTCTACAATTGGTTTTTAAGTTTTATATAATCGTTATTGTTTTGTAAGAGGGAAAACACTCGGCTTTGAAAATAATTGTACGTAATACACGTATAAACTTAGGTTTCCGAAGGCGAAGTTTTTCACATTTTAAAAACGTTATAGCTGCCAGAATCAAATTTCTAACGCAGTATCTCGAATTGCGTGATAGTGGTGAAGATTTACTTTTCATTTTCTTGGATGAGACATGGATATACCAGAACGGATCCATGGTGAAATTGTGGATCCATGATGATGACATCAAAGCTTGTCCTCCTAAAAAGACTAGTGAGGGGAAAAGATTCAAAATTTTACATGCGGGTTGCTCTTTGGGCTTTTAGAGGGATGCGATTTTCTCCTTGGTTCAAAAATAGATTCACCAGATTACCACAAAACCATCACATTTTCGATATTTGACCTTTACTTACTTACATGTCACATTTTTGATACCTACTTTCTGACATTCCAGTAATACATTATACACTAGAACAATTATGTCCGCAGTTACACAGCTTAAAAAAAAAAGTTACCAAATCTAGTTACATCTACCGAACGTGAATTCCTTATATATGTAGCAGATCGCTTGCACTAATGCAAAAATCGTCGACTTATTTTTCAAATTTGAAATTTTTGACACATGACTGACAGATTTCAGAAAAATGGTAGAAGTAGCAGAAGTTATGACGCCTCGTTATCTACGACCTACGTGCAAATTTCCAACACTTGATTAAAGTTTAACTGAATCACTTAAAGGTACATGGTATCGTTATAAAATAAATTAGTCGCACATTAAAAACAATGACTACAAAAAAATCAACATAAATAATTAAATATATAGCGTATTTTATTAAACTAGAATTTAAAATGCGTGATCTTGACGAACACTGTCCAGTAAAAAAAATGACAGATTGTCAACTTTTTGACATTTGACTCGCGTGACAAAAGAGCTTTAAAAATAACAATCGGAAGTTGTTGGTCGCCACGGGTCAGCGATAAATAATTTCTCAGCAGAGAGCCTATGAAATTATTTCTTCCGAGGAAGATTATTCTCTTCACTAGGCTGTGACAACAAAAAATGTAATTTACATGCTGCTCGAAACAAAAGTAAGATTCTTTCTATTTTCAGTTCTTTCGCTAATTTAATGATTGAAATTTGATAACGTTATAACTTATGAATGTTATAACATCCTTAACAACTTTAAACAAAAAATTATGAAATGCTGGCGATTTTTTTACATCTGCACAGTGCGCTCAACTTTTTGTTCTCGTTTAAAATGTTTTAAAAATTAAAGCAAAAAAAAGACAACATACCAAGTTTTGAACATTTTGTATTATCACTATCATTTGTATCATTGAAAACGTGTTGAAAAGTTATGCTTTGGCATACTCTATTACTTATTCTGACAGTAAATAATATTACAACTTTAATGTTACATAAATTAAGAGACTTCCAACACCTAAAAGTTCTTTGGAATTTTTTGTACAAAAAGCGTAGCTAGGAACTATATTAGTATAACAAAATGTATGTGTTACTCCAAAATATCAAAATTTTATTTTCATTACACATGTCATAGAAACTTGTAATATTCCAGCAGTGATGAAAGTAAATATTTATATTTATGTGGCTCCTTTATCGAAATGAAGTAATGCCAAAACCGACCAACGTAATCTGAGTGTCATTGAAAGTTATTTATACTTCGATAAAAAAACAAGAATTTCAAAGATTGATATTTTGTTTAAACATGCCTTACCTTCTTTTCCCTTAAATCTTTTAGCTTGCGGCGTCCGTTTGTGCTCCTCCGTCGGAATATTTATCGGCAAATTCGATTCTTCCCTGTTCTTCTCCATTCTCCCAGCCACCGAAAATTTTTCCGCATCCGACTTTTCCACCCGACTTTTCCATTGCTTCGATGCTGCATCGAGTTCGTCCTTTTTGATCTCCAAAATCGACTTCTCCGACAACTCATCCTGTCCAAAGAAAACGGATTTAAAATACCACAACAAAACGACACACACGACACCAATAATAATTTCCAACATTTTACAAGTCTCCCGCAAAGATGTGCGCACTTTAACTTGGCACGGGTTCGCCCGGTTCACCTATTGACGTACTGGATGTTAATCGGAACCGCTTTATCTGTTATGTAAATGGGCGATTAGTGATCAGTGTCGAGGCAAATTATTTCCATATGAAAAAAGAGTTTATCGGTTTTGAGCTGTTTACTCTATAACAGGCATGTCATTCAGCGTTTAATGCGCGACTGAGGTGTTGGCAATCTATTTATGATGACACACGCACAGTCGAGTACTTTATAACGAAGAGGAAAGCGATAGAGATTTCCGGTCGAAATGGTGATAATGTATTGAAGACACGAATTATGTTCAAGTGCCATTTACCTTTAGACATCTTTCTTATTACCATACTTGGATAGAACTTTATAGTGTTTTACGATGTGTCAATTAAAGTAAAGAATAAATAAGTTGCGCAAATTATTATAATGCAAAAACTGGTTGTCACATTTACTGGTAAACAGTAACCACTTTCGTAACCACAAATGTTGCATTCATGCGTCTTGATTACTAATTTTAACTTGTTTAAGAAAAATTCAATGGTAAAAAAATTGTAACGCTAATGCTATCAGTACCGGTGCTTTATTTGAACTTTAATCAAACAAATTTACACGTACGTAGGTCTTAGATAAATGAAACCTTGTCAGTCATTTGTCAAAAATTTCGATTTAAAGAAAATCATGAGAGTATATCGTTAATAAATAATAGTTTAAAAAACTAAAAAAACACGCTTTTATTGCTAATCGAACTAAAAACTAGAAAATAATTTTTAATGACAGAGTTTAATATTACAGTAGTAGAAGATCAAACAATCAATCATAATAAATCACCTCAAATTAAAATTATAATAAAATTTAAGTTATTAACAGAATAATTCAATTCAGAGTAAAAAGCGTGGGGTGCTTGATATTTTAAATATTACAATCATTCTATTGGCAACTATCTATGAGAGGATAGTTATGAACCGCAGTAAAATGCACCCCACGCTTTTTACTCTGAATTGAATTATTCTGTTAATAACTTAAATTTTATTATAATTTTAATTTGAGGTGATTTATTATGATTGATTGTTTGATCTTCTACTACTGTAATATTAAACTCTGTCATTAAAAATTATTTTCTAGTTCGATTAGCAATAAAAGCGTGTTTTTTTAGTTTTTTAAACTATTATTTATTTTTCATTTTTTAGTCTGCGACAAATTCATAAATTGGGGAATTAATTACTTATTTAGATTTTTCTAGAAAGAACCACTCAGTGGTCTCCGTATGATCGATCAACGGGAATTAGTTCGAAATCAATCGCCCTCACGGACCAACGGGACACAATTCATCATTGTGGTTAGTTTTACCCCCCAAATGGTTAATTTTCCTCCATGTTTGTATTTCTGAATCAAAATTTGTTATCTTTATTTAAGTTGGTGAGAATTCATGATTAGATATGTTTTAATTATAATTAATTCCTTCTTTACCGACTGTAAAACCAAAGCTATGCAGAAATTGTCCTTGAAACAGAAATAATCGGTATAGATCGGTATAATCGACACGGAGAGAGATAACCGTGGTATATACTGACACAATTAAGATGCGATCAGCCATTTTATTTGCACACGTTTAGTTAATTAAAAGTCCGGTCTTGTTTTTTCCATTTAATATCCGTTATTTGTATTTTAATCAAGACTATAATTATTACAACGAAGAGTAAACTAGATACTACAGGCATGCGCAGATCGCGCGCTAGCTTTATCTCTTTTACTCCACTACACAGGATCCATAAAAGAATTTATAAATCCTGGCGGTCCTAATAAGGATAATGGGAAACTGTTATCAAATTATTGCATTGTCATCGATCCTTGAGACGTGTGCAAAGTTTCAAGATGATCAGACTTTTAGAAACCGATGAAAATTAAGCTCAAAGATTCCGTTACATACATACAACCCAAGCTAATAAAAGCGTGATAAAAAAAAATGGTTTTCACTGTTGAAATCAGTCTTATCTTGCAAGTACTAGCCCCGCACACCCACCCTTTATTTTCTTAGAGGGTACATAATTTCCTAAAATCAGTCTTATCTAAGCCCACCCACCCCCCTCTATTTTCTTAAACGGTATACTATTCCCCAAAATCAGTCTTATCTTAGCAAGTACTAGCCCCGCATACCCGCCCTCTTCTCATTCTAACGAATAATTTTATTTTTGTTCATTCATTTCATTCTGACCGAATAAAATCAATCACTGAAAACGAGACACAGTGGGTGGGCGGGGTCAATTATTTTCTTCTGTCGAGTGGGACTGGAAACTAATAGAATGAATGACGTGAAAAAAAATTGGTACAAAGTTGTTTCGACAGAACTTCCCTCGCTCCTGAAGTTTTATGAAACATATCCAGTATTTTCGAAAAATGATAAAATTTGATTTTACGGATTTTATTTATTGTTTTTTTATGAGAACCCCTATAAATTGGAATAAATATGGAAGTATATAATGTTAAAGTAAATGGAAAGAAGCGTGCAACGCGTATGTTCCAAATGAGTTTTTACTTTACAAAATTTTGTGATGATGTCATCAACATCACTTTGGATAGGTGCAGTTGAGATGACGTCATAAATTTTTTAGGAGGGGATAAACGAAAAAATTTTACTTAACGATTTATCATGATAACGATAGCGTTAAAATGTTTACAAGATTTCAGAGCAATCGGTTTTGCCGTTTCAAAGTTATATTGCAAAATATTGTTATTCAGTTTTGAATTTTTTCCAAAAATTCTCGATGTCTAGGGTGAAAATTCGAGACGGATTCATACACCACAAGTGCAGAAGTATCTTATTTTATGCCATTAAAAAAACCTGTTTATTATAAATTTTGGAGATACATATAAAATGTGACGACAATCGGTCCAGTAGTTTCGGAGATTACTTGTCTAACAAAATTGGTTACAGACAGACAGACCGAAACGGGAGACCAGTTTTTTCGTATTCTAGAGGTCATGACACGTCGAGAAAATATGAAAGTGGCAATTCGGCGGATGGATTCGATTATTATACTTCCTTAGCTCACGCTCGAGAAGCAAAAAAAAACGTTCTTATTACCTAGAATGTATTTTAAGAACGGAGTGAAGCAAGAATGGATCCTCATTTTCACGAATTGTATCAATGTCTTAAGTTATTGTGCCTAATTTTAGAGAAACAGGATCTACTTCAAAAAAAGATGATTTCGAACTGTTCAGTCAGAACTACAGGCTATTGAAAATGTAATATAATAACACCCTTCGACTTTTGAAGAAAAATTTGCCGCCATAAAACCCCCAGATTATCTTAAACGCTTGAATTACTGTCGTTGGTTGAGCAAAATATGAGCGATGAGCTTCTAGATTTTACATTTTATAGAGACGAGGGGTGGATTTATTAGGACGACTTTGTAAATTCTCATATGATAAATTAAAAATCCAAATCAATATGAAAATAGTGAATGAGAATGAACTGTGGTGAGGATACCTTCAACAAGATGGTGCTACCGCTCATACGGCCAATGCAACAATCATGTGTCTTCAAGAATAAATTGACGAATGTTTGATCTCGGTTAATTTGTGGCCTACCAGATCCTCAGACTTATGGATTTTTTTTTCTAGTCTGTCATATTAAAAATGCCGTGTTCAAGAATTACATTAATGACAATAAACTGAAGACTGCTGCTATTGAAGTTTGTTTCTAAAAATATGAAAAGAAGAGTTCGACTTTGTTTGTAACACGAGAGAGAACATTTTGAACGATTTTCCAAAGTTATACCTATTTCCAACTTTTAGGCAACCAGTAATACGCAACAAGTAATTATGAAACACATTTGAAGTATGAATACTGTGTTACGTAAACACAAACCGCTTACTTTTCTAAAGGGTTCTCTCATTAAAGTTCATTTGTATCACCCGGTATAACATGGCGAATGGTGGAAGAGTCCTAGACAACAAATTAGAAGCTCCAATTTCTATCAAGGTGTTCAGGTATGCTACTAAGATGTTCGTTTACAAAATTACCCATTTTGACACATTTAAGTCAAAATTGTTCACATTGTGTGTTATATTACACTAAAAATTGGTCTGAAATTATCTATACAAAACTTCCCTCGCTTGTGAAGCACAGTCAATTAAATAAATGCGATTTCTTTGATAAATTGGATGCTACAGTTATTATTAATTTTATTTAACTTTGTTAATAAAAATCCCCAATGTGTCAATTTTAATGTATAACATTAATAATAACAGTAATGTGTTTCCGGAATTTTGGGAAAATTAAATATCCCGTTTTCGATTTCGATTTTCGAGAGAAACTTTCTCATTCATTGTGTTTTGACACATTTGTACAAACAATTCTACCATATAATCGAAAAAAGTCGTCTAGTAGGCCATGAACCCTTTATTTGACAGTTGTTTGACCGTATTTGTCAAAATGAACAACGAAGGCGTCGGTGTTGACAATATATTTTTTTTTGACATTATTACATTTCAGAGCTTGCTAGACGACTTTTTTACTCTATTATGTGATAATATATAAAACTGATTTACTTGGCAAAATTTAATAATGTAACTTTACACGTTCAAAGAATCCGTAAAAATGAAATTAAAAATTAATTTTGCTCAATTTGTCAATAATTGTTAATTTAGAGAGATTCACGAAAGACTGGAATTTTTTAAAACCAAAAATGTAGTTAATATTAAAATCGCTCCTCTAAGCCTCCGGTGAAGTGGTAGGAGTCTTAGTTAGGGTATAAATAAGCATCTAGTTGTAATTTAACTCTAGTTTAGCTTTTTCTAGAAAATGCCAACGTGGTTGGCGAAACGCGTCCGCAATTATTTTCTATATTTTCGGTGTCGTGGGGATAAACCTTATGTTATTATAGCACACCGAGT